TGAGGTGGTTAAAACTCTGAGGTGGACTTTGCAGAATGGGGTTTGGAAGCAGGTTACATTTCAGTCTGGGTTTTTCTCCTCTCCAGCCTGTTTTTTGGATAGGTTTTTAAAGACATGGATCAGTGAATGTATCTCTAGCTCACTGAGTCTGTGTTCACACATGCAGTTACTCACACCCAGACACACACCAGCCTCTCTCACTTGAGCCTATCGTGCACCCTAACTCCTCTGGACATGTGCACACTCTTTCATTCTCTTACATGTTCCCCCTCTCTTGTCCCACTTGCTCAATAACCCAATCACTGCCACCCTTTCTCTTGCCTCACTTTCCCTTTCTCTCATACTCCCCTCCCCTGCCCCCCCTCTCTTTTTGCTTCCCTCCCCTTCTTTTATTCCCACACAGTGCAAGGGTTCAGATCACCCATTCTGCTATTTTGATTACAACTCACAGGGGACTAATTCCTGCATGGGAAGAAGTGTCTTCCATCTAACCCACTTCTCAACTTGGAGCCTCATTTCCCCCCTCCCAACCCCCCAACATGTGCATTGACAAGACCGCTGAGCCACTCACCCATCCAGTTGGCAACCTGCACCTTGCAGTCTTCCCTGGAGACTGCAGACTCAGTATTCCCTTGTTCAGGCTTCCAGGTGAATTAAGATTGGATGGTGAGCAAGCTTTGCAAACATTTCTATCAGAGGCTGCTTCCTTGATATCATCATCAAAGGTGGGAAAGTGGTTGCCTTTGATTGGAGGAGCAGCTTCTTCCAGAACTGTCCGCATGTACTTAACTGTATTTGTAAACTGGGGTTGTGGGCCACATAGGCAGACCATATGTGCCACCTTTCACCAAATATATTCTATCCTTGCTCTTCTAGAATGTTCTCTTTCTCCAGCACAATATTCTCCTTATTTCTGCCACCCTCCCTGTTCCTTCCTGAACAATGACAGAGAGGATGATACACACAGACTGTAGAGGGATGTAGACAGTATAAGCAAGTGGGAAAAACTTGGCAGATGGAATATAATGTGGGAAAATGTGTTTATGCACTTTGGTAGACTGATTCCTGGGATGATGGGACTGACATATGGGAGACACTGTCAGTTTGGATTATATTCACTAGAGTTTAGAAGAATGATAGAGATATTTCAAGTACCCATAAAATTTCAACGGCGTAGATGCAGGATAGATATTTTCAATAACCAGGAGTACAGACCCAGGGGCTGCAGTCTCAGGTAGACCTTTTAGGACACAAATGAGTAGAAATTTCTTCAGAGAGAGTGCTGAGCTTGTGGAGTTCTCTGCCACAGGAAACTGTTGAGGCCAAAACATTGAAGATTTTCAAGAAAGATACAGATCTAGTTCTTAAGATGAAAGGGAACAAAGGATATGGGGAGAAAGCAGGAATTCACTATGGAGCTGGATGATGAGCTGTGATCATATTGAATGATGGAACAGGCTTAAAGGCCTGAATGGCCTACTCCTGCTCCTATATTCTATGTTCCTGTGGCAGAAAAGATACAGGAGCTAGATATTCAAATGAAAGACTTTGGAGTTTTCTTCAATAAATCACAAAAAGCTAGCATCAAGTTCAGTGGGTAATAGGGAAGGCAAGTGGAATATTGGCTGTTATTGCAAAGGAATGAACATAAAAATATGGAGGTTTTGTTAATACTACACAAGGCACTAGTCCAACTACAGCTAGAGAACTGAACATCTCTGGGTCCCTTACTTAAGGAAAGATATACTGGCACTGAAGGCATTCCAGAGAAGATTCACAGTTCTCATAGCAGGTCTGGAGGGACAATCTTATTAGGAGAGGTTAAGTAGGTTGGCCCTGTATTTTTTGGAGTTTAGACCAATGAGAAGTGACCTTATTGAACGATACAAGATTTTTAGCAGTAATAGTGGAAAGGTTGATCCCTCTTGAGGGACAGTCAAGGATCATTGGGCATAATCTCAGAATAAGGGGTCTCATTTTGTACAGAGCTAAACCTAGAAACATAGAAAATAGGTGCGGGAGCAGCCTGCACCACCATTCAATATGATCATGCAATTTTAGTATCCCACTCCTGTTTTCTCTCCATACTGCTTGATCCCTTTAGCCACAAGAACAACATCCAGTTCTCTCTTGAATATATCTAACAAACTGACCCCAACAACTTTCTGTGGTAGAGAATTTCTGAGTAAAGAAATCCTTGCTCATCTCAGTGCTGAAATGGCTTACCTGTGATTCTTAGACTATGACCCCTAGTTCTGGACTTCCCCAATGTTGGGAGCATTCTTCCCACATCTAGTCTGCCCAGTCCCATCAAGATTTTATGTATTTATGAGATTCCCCTCATTCTCCTAAATTCCAGTGAGTGCAAGCCCGTTCAATCCAGTCTTTCTTCATATGTCAGTCTGTCATTCCAGGAATCAAGTCTGCTGAACCGTCACTGGACTCCCTGAATAGCAACGAGGGTTTCTTTTCTCAGAATTGGGGGAATTCTTTACTGCAGAAGGCTGACAAGGCTGGTTTGTTAAGTATATTCAAGGCTGAGATTTTTAATCAGTAGGAGAATCCAGGCTTATGGGAAAAAGGCAGGAAAATGGAGTTGAGAATTCATCAGATCAGGAGCAGACTTGATGAGCAGAATGACCTACTCTGTCCCTATAGCTTGTAGTCTAGACTTGTACACGGGAATGTCTAAGGATTCACTCCTGCCCTTCTGCCACCGTTCCTATTTGTTATAAGCTGTGTATTAACATACATGCACTGTAACCATGATTTAAACTTTATTGTCTTGCTCTGAACTCATCTAAAAACTTACTATTTCTTGTCTTAATGTTAGTTATCTCTCCCAGAATTTTGTGCTCTTGGTGTTCATTGAGCTTTCCTGTAAACATCCTTTAAGTGCTCTGTTCCCTTTACTCCATCATGGATGGCTGTGCCTTCAGCTATCTACAGCCCAATGCCTAGAATTTGAGTTCAATTAATAAACCATAAGAAATTTGTACAGGAGTAGGCCATTCAGCCCCTTGATCCTGCTCTGCCATTCAATAGGATCATCATTGATCCAATCCTTGACTTCTGTACTGATCAAGAATCTATCTATCTGAGCCTTAAACATACACATGGACTCTTCTTCCTCAACTCTCTGTGGCAAGTAATTCCAAAGATTCTCAATGATCTGAGAGAATAAATTTATCCTCCTCTGTCTTAATTGGCACCCCTTTATTCTGAGACTATGCTGTCTCACCTTTGATTCTCCCATGAGGCAAAATATCTTCTCAGCATTTACCCTGGCCTTAAGAATCCCATATGTTTCAATGAGATCACCTCTCGTTCTTCTAAACTCTAGCGACCAGAGTCCCAACCAGTTTAGCCTCTGCTCATAAAACAATTCCTACATACTGGGAATCATCCTAGTGAACCTTCGCTGAACAGCCTCTAATAAAATAACATCATTCCATAAATAAGGGGACCAAAACTGCTCACAGTACTCCATATGTGGTCTCACCAGTACCTTGTACAGTTGTAATAAGACTTCCTTACTCTTATACTCCACTCCCTTCAACTAAGATCCGACCCTCCATTAGCCTTCCCAATCACCACTGTGCTACCTTTCTGTATTTCTTGCACTGGTACTTCCAAGTCGCTTTGTATTGCAGCTTTCTGCAGTTTTTCTACATTTAAATAATACTCTGTTCTTCTGTCCAAAATGAACAACTTATTATCCTCCATTATACTCCATTTGCCAACTTTTTGCCCACCTATCAGTATCTCTCTGTAAACTGTTTGAATGCCCCTCATAATTTGCCTTTGCAAGTATTTTTTGTGACATCTGCAAATTTGCTTACACTACATTTGCTTCCATCTTCCAATTTATTCATACATATTGTAAACAGTTGTGGTCTCAGCACTGATCCTTGTTGAACCATAAAAACCGAAAGAACTGCAGATGCAGAACTGCGGAAAAATCTGTGAAGAAAGAATCAGTTAATGTTTCGGCACATATACTGCCAGACCTGCTGGTCTTTTTCAGCAAGTTCTGTTTTTGTCCCTGTGGAACCATGCTGGTTACAGGTTGTCAACCTAAAAAAAATCCCCACTCGCTGCTTACTGCTAGCTAGTTCTCTGTCTCTACCAATGTACTACGTCAAACACTCATATTTTGTGAGGTACTTTGTTGAACGCCTTTAAATCTTAAATAAAAACAGTCAGTAATGATGACAGTAACAACTGCCAACAATTGTGAAGACCTTCAGGGAAGGAATTCTGCCTTTTCCTACGCATACTGGCCTCCACAGCAATGTGGTTAGCTCTTAACTGCCTGCTGAAATTGCCTTGCAAGCTGCTCAGTTCAGCCATGCTAGTTCTGCCCACATCCTGTGAAAGACTAATTTAAAATGGTGCTGTAAATTCTCAGTAACTTAGATTTCCAGCTTATGTGTAGTTTATGCCATTAACTGTGTAAGCTGCCTTCCTTCTGATGCCTAGCACGTTTTATTTGCAGAAGGAAAATTTGGTAAACGTGGACAGGTATTGGTACAGTACGCTTGTGTGGAAGGACATTTGGAGGAGGATCGCTGGGGTAGGCGGGGCTCTTCGCTGAGGGCGCGCCTGCCATTATGACATCAGATAGTCAGACATGGGTAGAGCGACGATTAGCCAATGGGAGCTGCAGGGCTGAGTGTAGCCAGTGTGTAGCCGCAGCGGGAGGATTGGTCGCTTGTTTAGGACCATCCACTGTCAGAGGGAGAAGGGCAGATTGTATCCCACTGGCTCTAGGCAGGGAAATACAGTATCTAACTGTCGCTGAGAGAAGGATATACTGTCTCCTATTGCCTCCGATGGAGGGACATATCGTATCCCACTGCTACTGCGGGACATATTGTAGCTCACTGCCTCAGTGAGAAGGACATACTGTATCCTTCTGCCTCTAAGAGGGGCAAACACTATCCCACTGCCTCTGAGAGTGGAATATATTGTATCCCACTGCTTCAGTGAGAGGGATATTGTCCCGTTATCTCAACGAGAGGGACATATTGTATCTTATTTCCTCTCCGAGAGGACATTGTCTCACTCCCTCAATGTGAGGCTCACTGTCCCACTGCCTCAGTGAGAGGGGTTACTACCTCAGTGAGAGGCCACCGACCCGCTGGCTCTCTGAGAGGATTACCGTCCCGCTGCCTCAGTGAAAGGACACAATTGCACTGTAGTTCAGCTCCAACTCCACCAGATCTTTCCCGCAGTCACAGCCACCTGACCTGCCAAAGTTCGCTGGTGCACACGGGGAGAAGAAGGAGGACGATGTTGCCGCTGCTGGAGGCTGGCACCTCTTTGATAGGAAATGCCGTGGAAAGGGTGGTGGAGGGCAGCTTGACATCCACGGTGCTGGTCACTTCAGCTTTTATCTTGAGTGTGGCATATTTCTCAAAAATGACTTTAAAACAGGCCGAAAATCAGAAGGGTTTGGTATGTATGACATTCTTTAAAAAATGTTATTTTTATTCTTGTCTTTACATTTTAAAAATATTCATTCGGGTTTATTAATGGGCATGAAAAAACTGCTGACATGTTTACTTCTCTCCCTTTTTACCCGTTATTTCGCCTGTAGTTTGGCGTTCAGTCAGAATTACAGCGAATCATTATTTTCTAATGTAATCAAAATTAGAACCAAAATTCAAAATGTTTAATCGTGAAATAATAGGTTTGTTTTGAATGTGATTATCATGTTTGAATTGGTCCATCAGGAGCCTGCTTTGATGATGTAATGGTTTCCATCAGGTTGGATTGCAACGAATATAGTCGTCGGCACTTTGTTGATGCCCGTTGAAAAAGTCATTGTAGGGCTTCACGATATCTGTATTGCCGTTGCCTTTAATAAAACGTAAGGCAAACTGTTTTGTCGTATACCCACTTAAAACAAAGATTCCTTTTGGCAAAATTAGTGTGCGGAGAACTTCGTGCAGTTGATTCGAAACAGATGAAAAATAGTAAATGCGTCAAAATGAAACTTAATAAATGAACAATTATAATCGACAACTGATTAAAATATTATTGAAAAGAATTGCTACTCCAAAGGGACTCCATTCTTAGGTGTCATGTTAATAGGTGCAGGCGTTGATAAAATGGTGGGAATTTACATTTGGTTTTTGCTTACCAGAAGATATTTCCTGAAGTGGTTGCTGGTGACATGAGTGATGTTATGAAACTTTTTTTAACAGGAACTTAATCTAGGTATCAGCTGTGGACCAAAAACAACAGAAGTGTATACCACCACAATCTATAACCCCCTGGCCTGGCACATCTCTCGTACTACTTATTGTAACTGTGAAACTGGCTGACCAAGTCATGTGTGTGCAAGAGCAACACCAGGTCTATCTGAAAGTTAGATGGAAACCTGGTGAAGTTTTGATGTAGGACTACATGCATGCTGAACAGCAGGAGCAGCTGTTGGAGACAGCCAAGTGATCCTGTAAACGACAGTTCAGATTAACAGTCTGCCGTTCTGCCACAATGGTGGTGAGCAATTAAAGGACAAATAGGAGGACAGGGAATCTCCAAGTGCATCACTATCCTCAATAACGCTTAACCCAGTACATGAATGCAAACAACAAGGATAAAGCATTCACAACCATTTTCAACCAGAAGGCCTTGATTGGATGATCCATCTCAGTCTACTTCCATGGTCCCCACTATCACAGATGCCAAACTTTAACAAATTTGATTCACGCCACATGATGCCAACAAACAACTGATCACACCAGAAATATTAGAAATTCTGAAAAAATCCAACAATAATGTTGAAGCCTGCTTTGAAAGAAGAATGCTTCTATCCACGCTGTCCCAGAAAAGCTACAACAGTCATCCAACTGACAAAGCGAGAAGCTGTTCAGCCATGTCTCTTCCACAAAAAGTAGGACAAATCCAATGAAACTAATTGTCATCAGCCCACTCTTGCTCTTCAGCACAATGTTGGAAGATGTTGGCCACAGACTTACATAGTTCCACATGCTTGCATTGGCTCCTTTGCTCAGTTTGAATACAGTCAGCACCACCCTGCTTCAGAACTCATTATGTCCTGGGGTGGCATGGTGGCTCAGTGGTTAGCACTGCTGTCTCATGGTGCCAGGGACCCAGGTTCAAACCCAGCCTGGGGCGACTGTCTGTATGGAGTTTGCGTGTTCTCCCTGTTTCTGCCGGGTGCTCTGGTTTCCTGCCACAGTCCAAAGATGTGCAAGTTAGATAGATTGGCTGTGGTAAATTACCCACAGTGTCCAGGGATGTGTAGGTTAGGTTCATTAGCCATGGAAAATGCAGAGTTACAGGGATAGAGTATGAGGATGGCTTTGGGTGGGATGCTCTTCAGAGTTGGTGTGGACTTGTGGGGTGGACTGACCCATTTCCATGCTGTGGGGATTCTGTAATCCAAATGGACAAAATTACAGAGGTGAGGTGAGAATGACTTGCCTCACATCAAGGCAGCATTTGATTAATTTGTAAAGTTAGGTCACATGAGATTCAGGGTGAGTTATCATTTGGATAGAAAATTGGTTTTATGGCAGGAGGCAGAGAGTGATGGAGGATGGTTGTTTTTCAGACTGGAAGCCTGTGACCAGCAGTGTTCCAGAGGGATTGTTGCTGGTCCACACTTTTGTCATTTATATAAATGATTTAGATGAGAATATAGAAGGCATGGTTAGTAAGTTTGCGATGACACCAACTTTTGGTGGTATAGTGGACAGTGAAGAAGTTTATTTAAGATTACAAAGAGATCTCGATTAATTGGATCACTGGGCTGAAGAGTGGCAGATGGAGATCAATTTGGATAAATACAAGGTATTGCATTTTGGTAAAACAATCAGGGACAGGACTTATACAATTAGAAGTAGGGCCATGGGCAGTGTTGTAGAACAGAGAGACCTAGGGGTTCAGATACATAATTCTTTGAAGTTTGCATCACATATAGATAGGGTGGTTGAGAAAGTGTTTAGCACGCTTGCCTTCACTGCTCAGACCTTCAAGTATAGGAGTTGGGATGTTATGTTGAGGTTGTACAGGACATTGATAAGGCCTCTTCTGGAGTACTGTGTCCAGTTCTGGTCATCCTGTTATAAGAAGGATATTGTTAAGCTGGAGCGAGTTCAGAAGAGATTTACAAGGATGTTGCTGGGAATGGAGGGTTTGAATTATAAGGAGAGGCTGGGTAGCTGGGACTTTTTTCACTGGATGGAGGAGGTTGAGGGGTGACCTTATAGAGGTTTATAAAATTGCGAAGGGTATACCATTCAGGATAATGCAGTCCAATTGAATGGTACCAGATCTACCATTTGGAACATTGCCCTCTCCATCACTGCAGCACTGCAGTAACTCTCTAAGGCTTCTTCAGCATCACCTCCGAATCCATGAACTATAATGCCTAGAAGGGCAAGGGCAGCAGGCAGATGGGCACACCCAAGTTCCAAGTTTTCCATCATCCTGTTTTGGAAATACATTGTTGCCAGATTAAAATGCTGAACTTTTCTACGTAGTGCATTGTTGGTATATCTTCACATCATAAACTACAGTGTTTCAAATGGCAACCAACTGCAGCCAATTACTGGCAATAAACATTGGCTTTGTCATTGATGCCTGCATTCCCAAATAATAGTAATATTTCTCAGTAAGAGTAAGGAGTTTGGATTTAGGCTGAGAATAAAGGAGATATGTGCAGTTCTCAGAATGATTTGGAGTGGGTAGTGATGTCCCAGAAGGGTTCATCTTTAGTGCTGCTGCTCTGAAATATATATCAGTAATTTTGGTTACAGAGGGAGTTGTAAGATAACTGGAGATATATTTAATTTTTTGGACCAAAGAAATGTGCAAAAATGATTGTTAGGATGGTGGGCAGGAGGATAGAAAATGTGTCAGATGGACATATTATTAAAGGCAATACTTGAAATTGATAAGGCCATTAAAATGATAATTAGAGTGCTGTGCAATGTTAAGCTCCACACAATTGCAAGGATAGTGAGGCTTTCCGAAGGTAAAAGTAGGATACTCCTTGGTGTGAAAAGTACAAATGAGAAGACTTGAAAATTGCAAAGTTTTCATTCAAAACATGCTGATTATGGGGTGATATAATATTAAATGACTCTATCTTATGAACATTATCCTATTATGGGTAGATTATTTTCAGTTGTGAAGGACATTTTTTTAGAAAATTAAATACAATTATTTTTTGTGGAGGAAGTACTGTCTTGATTTGTGAGACTGAAACTGCTAATGTTAAAGGTGCAATTGGGTCACTAGGGTGTAGAAATAGAATGGGTAAATGTGACTAGAATTATGTGCTTAGATGGTAGATAAACATTAACTCGGACTGATTGGACAAATGAAAAATTTCATGTTCTGTCAATTCATTGTTTTTGATTGCTGTGTTATTTATGAGACTGTTGTTTTCTTTTTCAGAAATACCCACCTTATATTCACTCCAGTATTCCATTCCTTGGACATGCAATTGCTTTTGGAAGAAGTCCAATTGAATTCTTAGAAAATGCATACTGTAAGGTTAGTGCTAATTTCCATACATTGCAGCATGCAAGCTAATCTATGAAGATGCTAAACGTACCAAAAATAGGGGTTGAAATGGGTGCCCAGTATAAAATGCGATGCTCTATGTTGGTTTGGTAATCACCATTTTGAAATGTGAAAGAACAGCACCAGTAATTCATCCATTGTTACACCAGTCTTTTTCTTTTTCTTTTTGCAATACAATTAATGAACAATTTACCAAAGCCAGTTTTACATTTAATTCTTTTTGCCAGATTTTGTAATTCTGTTCCTGTGTGCAGTCTGAAGAGTGTGCCATGTCTTAAACTCTTGGCAATATGGCATGTACTGCCTGCTTGATCCCAAGTGCTGATACGTAATCTGAATAAAACATGCATTTCTGAGGAGAAAGATTGACTTTGACTCCTAATATAAGTATTGCATTTCTGTGCAACAAATAAGGAAGTTAACTTAATTACCATGATCTATGATATAGTTATATTCCTCACTTCACCCCACCCCCCGGAGAACAGTGCATTAGGTTCCAGTTCCTCCCTTTGCATGGTTTCTGTTATTACTAAAGTAGAGCAGACTTTTTATTAACTGAACCTATGGTACCAGGAGTGTGCCGGTTGATCAAATATTCCAGTTAATCACTGTAAAAACACACACTGAGCAATTCAGGGTGTATAAGCATCACTGTTATATTTTATTTACAGCATAAATCACTTAAACAATAATGCAACTTTGCCTTAAATCAAACTTACAGGCAGAGGGTCTTCTTACACCCTCAACTGACTACTTGGACATTGCAATAATGCAGTAAACTTCTAGTATTTGAGGTATATAAATTTTGCTGGTTTATCGAGAGTGCTGGTTCGTAAGGTCCTGGCTAATATAAGATTTGCTGTAAATGAAGTTAGTCCTTGCATAGAATATTAGGTTTTGAAATGAAGATTGCATTAGGTGGGGAGATGCAATGGGGAAGAATGCTCTCTACCTATCAAACCCTTTGTACTAAATATAATTTGGACTTTTGAACTATTGTGTACACTTTTAAACTTATTAAATCTTCTAAGGGAAATGTAAATTTCTGAGGATATAGCACTACAGTCTTGTTTACATCAAACAACTGAGTGGTATTCCAGCATTTATATTTACATTAATTAACTCTGATTTCAAGGGTGAAATTCCTCTGCTGCCATTGGACTGAAAGCATTCATAAAACTATTGTTCCTATATTTATTTTTTATAATGTGCCCGTTATCCACCTTTATGTTTAGTTAATTATGGAAATGTGGCTAATTTGACGTGTGTCTACTTCACAGATATGCCTTTCTACTGAATAGGATTTATACTAATTGCGTACATCATTTGAAGTTTAGCTGTTATATTCTTAAAGGCTGCTTTTCTTTTACATTTCTATAAAGAGACAAAGTTAAAGCTTTGCTCGGATGCAAGAAACAGTTGTGGGAGAGAAAAAACAATAATTTATTTCAAATAAGAATAACATGTTGTTAGATCAGGCCTTTGTTGATGATGCAGTAGGAACAGTTATTTGTCAACCCTGTTTTTCAGACCAAGCCTTGATTGGTCAGGGTGTTGCCATGGGAATGCAGCAGCGATTGGCAGACTACATGAGTCCTTTTATCCCAATCAGAAAGATTCAAAGACTCTGTTCACCAGGGTTCTATGTTTTAATATGTAGAGCTTCTAGCACGCACATTTCCATCACATTGGGAGCACAATTGATAGTCTTAAATAAGTTTCTGGTGTAATTCTTACACAGTCTATTTTATAGAATAAACGTTCAACAGTGCAATCACAGGGAATGTTGGACATAGTGTTCTCCAGAGGCTGGTTGGCAATGATTGGCACACTGTGGCACAGTGGCTCAGTGGTTAGCACTGCTGCCTGACAGCGCCAGGAAACCGGGTTCTATTGCACCCTCAGGTGACTGTCTGCGTGGAGTTTGCATATTCTCCCCCTGTCTGCGTGGGTTTCCTCCGGGTGCTGTGGTTTCCTCCTACATCCAAAGATGTGCAGGCTAGGTGGATTGGCCATGCTAAATTGCCCATAGTGTCCAGGGATGCGTAGATTAGGTGGGTTATAGGGGGATGGGTCTGGGTGGGATGCTCTGAGGGTTGTTTTGGACTTGTTGGGCTGCAGGGCCTGTGTGCACAATGTAGGGATTCTGTGAAACTGCCCACTGCTGACAGTCAGTGGGTTTGATGTGGTAGTTGGCCCACACAGCCTATATCCCTGGCATCAAACTGGCATTGCAACTCATGGAGTCGTGGAGCTGTACAGCATGGAAACAGACCCTTCGGTCCAACTTGTCCATGGTGACCAGGTATCCTGAGTTAATCTAGTCCCATTTGCCAGCATTTGGCCCATATCCCTCCAAACCTTTCCTATTCATTTACCCATCCAGATGCCTTTTTTATGTTGTGATTGTACCAGCCTCCACCACTTCCTCTGGCAGCTCGTTCCACGCACGCACCACCCTCTGTGTGAAAATGTTGCCCCTTAGGACCTTTATACCCCTCTCCCCTTCAACTTATGCCCTCTAGTTTTGGACTCCCCCCACCCTGGGGAAAAGTCTATTCACCCTAGCCATGCCTGTCATGAATTTATAAACCTCCATAAGGTCACCTGTAAGCCTCTGGCACTTGATGGAAAATAGCCCCAGTCTACTCAGCCTCTCCATAGAGTTCCAACCCCACAACCCTGGCAACATCCTACATCAGGTAACTAATTTGTGAGATAAGCGAAACATTTTTGGCTTAATGGCAGTATCCTTAGTGGAGAAAAACACTTGTGAGTTTGGTTGCAAAGTAGCAGTATGAGACAACTGGCTTCTCCTGCTGTTCACATTTTTGAGACGCACTCCACCAAATGCTGTCTTGGTGTCAAGGCAGTCAGTCTCATCCTGTTTCTGGAAATCGACTTTTTTGTTCACGTTTGGACAAAGGCTGTAATGTAATTTGGAACTGAATGCTTGGCTAAGTATTGTTGAAACGGATTATTGGTTAGAAATTTCCTCTCAATAACACTGTTGAAGACGCCTTCATCACTTTGTATTTACTACAACTAATGGTCTGATTCCAGCCTACGCTTCTTGTAATTGTTTCTGACACTGAGAGCCGTGTGTGGCAGCAACCTCTGGAGGCTTTTATTCTTTGTACATTATTCCTCAAGATATAATTGAATTATGAATAGAGTTAGAAATGTGGCTTTAATTCTGGAATTTACAGAAGATTAGTTTGACTTGTAATGAGACATCCTGGAGCTGCTATTCTTGATTATTACTTTCCAGGGTCATAACCTGACTTGTCTCAAGCCAAATAATTTGTCTTTGCAAAGTATTCCACACACTCTGAATTTATCAATCATGTTTCTGTACAAATGGATATTATATGTTGAGGTAATCTTGATGGTTTTGTGTAGTCTGATCCTGTTTGACCAAAATTGTATCTTTATATCCACATTAAACTCCATCTGCCATACCTGGTTTCATCCAGTTAATTGGCACTGATCCCATTGAATGCTGTTTCCCAATTCATCTGCGCAATGGCTAATGTTGGCGGTTGTCAAGTTGATTACACTATTGTCAAATTGCACCCAATTTGAAAATCTAACACATCAATGTGTTGTGCTGTAAATATTAAGTGCAATTTTAAACTCTGTCTTCTGAATTTTTAGAAGCTGCTGTTTTAAAATGTGATGAATGTGAACAAATGGAGTTGGTAAAACAGGTTTTATTTAATTGGAGCTCATGCAGAGAATCGTTGAACTGCAATTAAGAGAATATGTTTTTTTTTAAATAATGTGAATTAATTTGGTTACTTTTATATCTATTCTTAATCTGTGTCACTCTGTTTTTTGAACAGTATGGTCCAGTGTTTAGTTTTACAATGGTTGGGAAGACATTTACCTATTTGCTGGGAAGTGACTCGGCAGCTTTGCTGTTCAACAGTAAAAATGAAGACTTGAATGCTGAGGATGTTTACTCCAGGGTGACAACACCAGTTTTTGGCAAAGGAGTTGCTTATGATGTCCCAAACCCAGTATGTATGTTCTAATGTTGTATAGTATGATGCAAATATGATGCAAGTAGCATCCTAGAATCTGAAGTGCATCTTGTAATTAGTTGCTTTTTTTTGTACAGTCTTGTTTCTCTTTAGAGGTATAGCTTATTGCTAGTTTACTTGTGGTGGTCCACGAGCATCACTTGCAGCATGTTTCACTAACTGTTGAATATGAAAATAGCCTCATTAAAGAGGCAATCAAATTGTGAGTGTCAGTTGAAGATAGTTGTAGGTTACAGGAAGATATAGATGCATTGGTCAGATGGGCAGACCAGTGGAGATGGTATTTAACCGTGATAAGTGCAAGGTGATGCATGGTGGAAGAAGAAACAAGATGAGCGAGTATTTAATGAATGGCAGGAAACTGAGTAACTTAGAGGAACAGTGGGATCTTGGGGTAATTATTGACAGATTTCCAGGAGTTGGCAGAACAAGTGAATACGATAGTTAAGGCATATGGGACTTCCTTGATGCAGACTGGATGGGCCAAAAAGCCTTTTCTGAACTGTATGACTCTATGAATTGCTCCAAAATGAAACTTATTTTTCACAGTAACCTGCAGAACAATGAACTTTTGTTACAAAAGAGCTAGCAAATGATCTAGAGTTTGACCGTGTTTATAATCTACATTCAAGAAACCCAAAGAACTGCAAATGCTGGATATCCAAAACAAAAGTAAAAATTGCTGGAAAAATACAGGAGGTCTGGCAGTGTCAGCAGAGAGAAAGCAGAGTTAACATTTCAGGTGCAGTGACCCTTCTTCAGAACTGATTGTAGCAACGAAATGTAGTTAATATATGCTAAGGAAGGGATCGGGGGAGGGGGATGGAGTTAACAATGGGTGGAGGTGGAGCCCAAGGAGAGAGGAAAATCAGTTGGACATATGAAGGAAGGTCAATGGGAGAATGAAAGCTGCAAATGGGTCCAATTGGTAGCTGACAATGGGACAATGGGCTGTTCGCACAAACAACCCCACTGTCTGGAGTCTTGTTCTACCAAATAGCAAACAGCAACTGACTTGGAATCCCAGAGCTGCAGATGTTTTTATACAGCCTGTTCAGAGATGTTATGAAAAACTTTTGAAGCAGGTAGGACCTGAGCCCAAGCCTTCTGGCTCAGAGGTAGGGACACTAGCATTGTACCAGATCAGCCCCCATCCCAAAGTTGTATACTTCAGTATTTCACAAAGCTTCTACTTCAGTCATGTCTTAAAGACGGGTATTTCAGCTGCCAATGGCCTGTCTTGGTGGGCTAATTGGAAAGTCGTGCTTTGCACCCCCCAGCCGAGCTTCCATTGTTAGGTGAACGGTAGTTGTAAACGCATGAGCACCCATTTTAACATAGTGGGTTTTGAGGTTTGCCTTTATCCAAGTATGACTGGAGGAGACGACTCATTGTCAAGCCAGTCATGCCAGCTTTATTTGGAACATCCGAATAATGCAGGGGGTTCAGAACTATGTGGATATAAGATCATGGTGATCAGCATCAGCTATTTTGAGTCAAGTAAGGTTGTTTGTTTTTAAAAGAATCAAGTTAAACACAAAAATAAAAATGACAATAGTTTTCTTTGGGATTTCTTTTCATACCCTCTGGCCATGACATGAGGATTGTAACAGCTGATCATTCAACTGGGGGTGCTCGAACACTGCTAAACTTACTCAAAACTGCCACTGTATATTGGAAACACTCCCAACACATTTGCTTCATGCATATCTACCTTCCTTTATGTAACGGGGTAATTCCCTGAGTTGCAGTCTTGCACAACTTATATATAACATCCTCTCTGTCAGTTTGTGTTATCATCCTTTGCGTCAGTATCATAACATTAATGTCATAATCTATCCATCAGTCTATCTGACTCCATTTTCATTTTATTTAATAACAACGATATGGGATGTATTCCACGATATACATTGTGGAAAAAGACATTGTGAATTTGATATAATTAATGTTGTTTGTATCTTGAATCTGATGTCTGGTTTGAGAGCCAGTTTTTTTTCTCATCTGATAAAGTTACTTCAGTGCTTGCTAGCCAAAACTAAGCTGAATTATAGGAACAGCAGCCATTTATTCTACATTAGCTTTCCAAAAGACCTGTTGTTTTGTCCTACATCCATTTTTGTCCATAACCCTACAAGTTCCTCATCCTAAAGTTCTTCATTTCCTTTTAAAATCATGGAAACAGCTTCCACCACCTTTTCAAGTATATTGTTTGAGATTCCTGCTTTTGATTGAAAATATTTCTCCTTGTTTCCCTTCTAAATCTTACAATGACTTTGCAGCTATGACCTCAGATATTGGTCTGCTATGGGAATATTTATTCTGTATCTACTCTGTAAAAACCTTTCAATATAGAAAGCCTCTATTAAATCACCTCCTACCTCCATCTGTTCCAAGCAAGAAGGTCCGAACTTTTCCAAGCTCTTAGCATCTGAAGTCCCTTATCTCTTGCAATATCCTGGTAAACCTTCCTCTTCAGCTGTCCTAAGCTTTTTACATCTTTCCTGAACTGTGTTACCTCGGATTGTCAAAATACTCCACAATAGGTAATGTAGCTATTGCTCTCTGCCTTTGGTGTCACTTAACATAAGGATGAGAAGATAGGAATGAGAAAGTGTTGGCAAGCCTGGCTAACTCAGCAGAGAAGGTTCTTTAGGTTGATCCTGAGCATGAAGAGATTGACTTATAAGGAGAGGTTGAGTAGGATGGACCTGTACTTATTGAAGTTTAGAAGACTTAGAGAAAACCATAATGAAGAAGAAAACAAAATTCTTAGGCGGTTTGACAGAATAGATGTGGCAAGATTGTTTCCCCTTAGGACCCGAGCATAATTTCAAAGTAAGGGGTTGTCTATTTAAGACGGAGATTAGGAGGGAATTCTTCTGACAGTAGTAGGTTGATGAAATTCTTTACTGCACAGGGCTGTAGATGGTTGGCCATTCAGCATATTCAAGGCTGAGATAGACAGATCTTTAATCATTAAGGAAATCAAGAATTATGGGGAAAAGACTGGAAAATCAATCAGCCATATTCTTGAATGGCAGAACAGATGCAATGGGCTGAATGACCTAATTCTGCTCTGATGTATTATTGCCAATGATCAATGATCATGGGTCCATGAAATTGATCCATAATCTGTGCCTCCAGCAATCTCCATCTTATTTTTAAGACAAATGTTGTAAATATCATTGTCCAGGAATGTTTCTTCTGAGTGTCACCTTTATAGCCTTTCAGTTTGTCATCTTGCTTTATCCTCATCAGTTATATTAATTGTTCTCCTTTCTAATTGTTGTGTTAGAGATAGTAGGAACTGCAGATGCTGGAGAATCTGAGATAACAAGATGTAGAGCTGGATGAACACAGCAGGCCAAGCAGCATCAGAGGAGCAGGAAAGCTGAATTTTCAGGCCTAGACCCTTCTTCAGAAATGGGGGAGGGGAAGGGGATTCTGAAATAAATAGGGAGAGAGGGGGAGACAGATAGAAGATGGATAAAGGAGAAGATAGGTGGAGAGGAGACAGACAAGTCAAAAAGGCGGGGATGGAGCCAGTAAAGGTGAGTGTAGGTGGGGAGGTAGGGAGGGGATAGGTCAGTCCAGGAGGACGGACAGGTCAAGGGGGCGGGATGAGGTTAGTAGGTAGGAGATGGGGGTGGGGCTTGAGGTGGGAGGAGGCGATAGGTGGGAGGAAGGACAGGTTTTGTTTGTTAATAATATTAGCAAAAGACAAATATTTCTCCCACTTCCTTTTTTTCCCCACATCCAATTCCTTGAATATTTCTATTGACCTGACACTGATTTTTACTGACTAACTGCATTTTTTTGAGAATGGACTAAATTAGAGAATGGGATCCCAGTTTGAATTAAAGTTCCCTATAAGATTCTTGTTTGGGAATGTTCCATCCAACTTACAGCGTGTGGTTGCATTCCGTCAAATACCCTCTAATTATTTTAAATGTACTCATGAGATGTGGGTATTGCTGCCCGTCTCTAGTTGCCCTTGAGAAGGTGGTGGTAAGCTGTCATCTTGAACCACTGCAGACCATGTGCTGTAGGTAGACCCACAATGCCATTGGGGAGACATCTCCAGAATTTTGATGCAGCAATAGTGAAGGAACGGCAATATATTTCCAAGTCAGGATGGTGAGTAGCATGGAGGGGAGCTTGTAGGTGGTGGTGTTTCCATATATCTGCTGCTCTTATCCTTCTAAATGGGTTTTGAAGGTGCTACCTGAATGATCTTTGGTGAATTTCTGCACTGTCTTGTATATAGTATACACTGCTGTTGCTGAGCATCAGTGTTGGAGGGAATAGGTGCTTCCAATCAAGTGGCTGCTTTGTCCTGGATGGTGTCAAGCTTCTTGAGTGTTATGAGCTGAGGGATGTGCAGGGGGTGCTGTAGCTAGAATGGCATTCTGTTTTAGTATGATGGTTTAAGATTGGAGGTACCTGAGGACAAGTAAAGGAAGTCTTACTCTGCCATTACCTTCACATGGGAGCGTCCTGTAGTGTACCCAAAATAGGAAGTGTTTCAACTTTGAGGCAAAATAATCCTCTTCACAGTAATGTAAGAAGTTGTTGTTCCAAATTGGAGAAGATAACTTTGTTTTGCTTTGACTTCTCTTTGTAAATGAAAATTGCTCTGCTATGCCTTCATCAACTTATTGTTGTTACCTTCTTGTCTTACAAGATATTTTTGGAACAAAAGAAGATGCTCAAAACTGGTCTGAACATTGCTCAATTTAAACAGTACATCTCTCTGATTGAAGAGGAAACCCATGAGTATTTTAAACGCTGGGGTGATAGTGGAGTTAAAAGTAAGTATTCAAATATATCATCCTCATGATTGTGCACGAAGTCATAAATTGTTCATTTTGACCTGTGAAGATGTTTTGCAATTTTGGTTAAAATTTGAAGGCCATGTTTATTATCAGGATATAACTTGCCTGATACTGAAAGGAACCAATGTGTAAGTTCACCTGCAGCACACTGTGTAAATGTAATACTGAGCATAGCAGACTTTGAAGATCCCATTTTGTTGCTTGGCCTGGACTTCATTTGATGATGTTAATCATTCGGCACTGTCTTAGAGTCATACAGCACAGAAACAGACCCTTCAGTCCAACTTGTCCATGCTGACCAGGTATCCTAAACTCAGCTAGTCCCATTTGCAAGTCCCAGGTGGTGAGATGCTGCCTTTACCTGCTACAATCCATTTGATATAAGTGGGCTCACAATGATGTTAGGAAATGAATTCCAGGATTTTGATTCAAAAGCACTAAAAGAACAGTGATATATTTCCATGTCAGGATAGTGAGTGGCTTCAAGAGGAACTTGCAGGTGGTGGTGTTCCATGTATCTGCTGCCTTTGCTCTTATCAATGGTAATGGCTGTGGGTTTGGAAGGTGCAGGCTAAGGAGCCTCTTTCCACCTTTTACTCATTTCCCTGTTGTCCATTGCCACCACCACCATTTTAGCTGCAGTTTTAATTCCATTACATTCTACACTCACAATGAATTCCTGATCCCCATTTAGTTCCAGACATTGGTCAGTACTAGCAGTCCTGGGATTTCACCTGCTACCTCCAGCACCAACCTCTGCCACAAAATGGAATCTTATCAAAAACAGTAGTGACTGCAATTTAACATTATTTAAATTTTTATTGCATTTGTTTTATATTTACATTTTAATTAGCATGGAGGGGATTGTTTTATTAATGAATGTAGGCATTTAAAATGTGCACCATTTCCAATTATAAGGTTTGGAAGCTTTTCAGTGAGAAAAATCCTAAAGTAGCTGCCCGCATTCATTTTATGTTTATTAAATTATTTTGTTTGCAACTTATTTCAGTGAACAATGCTCAGTACTCATGATATTCTTTCATGGAGTCTGGGTGTAGCTGTCGAAGTTGTTATTCATCTCTAATTGTCCTTGGACTGAGTAGCTTACACAGCCCTTTCATTGGTCAGTTAAGAGTCCGTGTGGGTGTGGTGTCATAGGTAGGCCAGACCATATAAGGACGACAGATTTACTTCCCTAAATTATATTCGAGAACCAGAAGTTGTTTTTATGGCAAATGATGGTAGTTTTGTGGCACCAATATTGAGACAAACTTTCAGTTTCACATCTTAATAAATGAATTTAAATTCCACCAGTTGCTTTAATGAGATTTGAACACTGTCCCCTGTGCATTAATCTGGATGAATGCGATCAGGATTGGTAGTCCAGTGACATTAACACAATGCCACTGCCTCCCCTCAGGTTTGGTTTCTCTGGCAAGAAACGTCCTTAATCAATTTTTACGTAAATCCAGTAGAAATCAATGTTCCATTTAAAGTTGTGATTTTCAGTACCACAGCCGCACTTTAAATGAGGATACATTCGAAGCCAAAGGAACATGACTCTGCAAGTACGGGACTAGGTGTGGAGATGGATATTATCTTTTAAAGTGTCGAATTTCATGCACTTGAAGTTTTCATGATGAGAGCTGGCAAACTGTTGATCCTTTTAGATGAAAGTAGTGATTAAAATTGCAGGCTTTTAGGATTCCAAATATCTCCAAACAAACAGTGGCAGTAAAGGATTTTGACTTGCTTTCATTATGCAAAGTGTTATATCCAAAAGATCTGAATGTGTTTGTATTTAATGCCAGTATGTTATTTCCTAGCATAAAATGTTAGAGTTCAAAATACATTTCTTATTTAATGACTCTCTTATTTGCTCTTCCATTTGTTGATTTTTAGATTTGTTTGAGGCTTTGTCTGAACTGATCATTTTAACAGCTAGTCGTTGCTTACATGGGAAAGAGATACGAAACCTGCTGAATGAACAGATTGCACAGCTCTATGCTGACCTCGATGGTGGATTTACCCATGCTGCTTGGCTTCTTCCTGGTTGGTTACCTCTTCCCAGTTTTAGGTAACGAACAGTAGGGAAAGTGGAACATCATGACCTCTGGCCCAAACAGTAATTCTTTAGAAAAAGTTAGATTAGAATTCCCATGTTTTAAACAGTAATATTTTGTGTGTGTAATGTGTGACTTTTAAGTTTACTATTTTTGCTGCCATGTGAATTTCTTGTAGCATTTCTTATCAAAGGATTACACTATTCTAAAAACAAAAAAAAATTAAATACTTCAGAATATAATCTGTTAGGCTGATATATGGTGCTTTAAGACTTTGCTTTGCATACTTGCATGTTTTCATTAGTTACAGGTGAGGTTTTAGGCCGGAACTCTGTTGTGTATATGCATAGCAATTAAGCTGCATCCATTCTGGGTTCAGTTTCTTTTATTCTTTAATGGGATGTCAGTATCATTGGCAAGGCCAGCATTTATTGCCCATTCTGATCTGCCCTTGAGAGGGTGATGGTTAGTCACCTTCTTGGATTGCTGCAGTAAATGTGGTGTAGGTCGACCCACAATGCTGTTAGGAAGGGAGCAGCAGGATTTTGACCCAGTGATATGAATGAACAGTGCATAGTTGGATGGTGTGTTGCTTGGAACAGACTCGATGAGAAATAAGGAGGTGGTGGGTGCATTGAGCAGGTTTTGTTTTTAATCTCTTTTCTCAGCAGAAGACTCAAATAACGTCCCAGAAATATGTGAATTAAGAAATGAACTTTATGAATAAACCAGTGGGTTCTCCCCCAACTCCAAGGTGTAAAACTTAAGTCAGCAAACACATTAAAAATTACCTCCTGAAGTGGCTTGCTAGTCATTTAGCTGAAATCATATGGTTTCTTTCAGAATTCTTCACTCACTGTTCAAAATGGCTTTCTGACCTTATAGAAAAAAGAACTAAAGATTAAAATCCATTTTTCTTTTACTTTGGAACCAAAATTTCCAAGCAATAATATGAGCCTTCACATAAGAACTGCAAAGATATTGGTATGCAGATACTATAAATGATTAGGAAGACAAATGGAATGTTGTAATTTATTTTAAGTCAAATGAATATAAATATTTTGCTGGGTTGGACAGAGATGTGGTGAGACCACATATGGCGTACTGTATTCAGTTTTGGTCTGTATTGTTTAAAGATTTAATTGCATTACAAACAGTGTAGAGAAGGTTCACCTCACTGATTATTGGGATGAAAATGAATCCTCTTATGAGGTAAGGCTGAACAAATTTTGCCTACATCCATTGGAGATTAGAAGGATTAGCATCATTTAGAGATGTAGGTACGGCTGTAGGAAGAGATTAAAATTGAAGATGCACACAAGGTTGGCTTTAAAGAAGCTCAGGTATCCAGGAGAGCTGTGGGCTGAGAGCATGTTATAGAGCTAGGGTGGAACAAGGCAGCGGAGAGATTTAAAGCAAAAGAGAATTTTAAGAGTAAGGCATTGCTTGAACAGGCAGCTGTATGGATCATCAAGCACAAGGGTAATGGTTGAACAGGGTTTGTTGCAATTTAGACAGGGATGAAGTTGGCCACTGTCACCGCATTGGAAATAGATGCCGTGGATATGTGCGTGGAAGTGTATCTCTGCTTGAGCATGACTCCAAAATTATACTTAGTCTGGTTCCGCCTCAAGCAGTGTTCAGAGATTAGGATGAAGTTAATGGCTAGGGCATTGATTTTGTGACAGGCACCAAAACCCAGGCTTTCCTAAAATATTTAACTGGTAGTGGTTGACAGAGAAGTGGTGATAATTTACAGATGGTGGAGGAGCCAAGAATAATTATGGTAAAATAATGGTGTGGCCAGCAAACATTTGGAAACTGACATACTTCTAGATGATGTAGCCAAGGTGAAGCATGTAGATGAAAAGTAGGCGGGGACCAAGGACAGATTCCTTGAGCATATCAGAGATCTTTGAGGGTGAGGGAAGTGAAGTCATTGCTGATGATTCACTGTCTACAGTTAGCTATAAATGGAACCAGATGACTGTAGTCCCATCTATCTGGACAACATTGAGAGGCATCAGAGGATGGCGGGCTGCTCAGCTGTGTCAAAGGCTGCAGCCAAACTAGGAAAGACAAAGAAGAATAACCCACTTCCGTCACAGAAGTGTAGGAAAGCGTTTGTGATTACAGGAGTTCCAGGAAAAATGACTGATTTTGACTGGAATGCATTCAAGACTGTTGGAGATGGAGTAATAGTTTGCAGGGCAGAAAGCCAAGGATTTTTTTCAGTAGAGAGGTGATAATGGCAGATCTGAAAGTGGGTAATTGAGGAAAAAAGAGACAAATCTCTGTGTATTAAGAGAGGGCATATGTGATTGCAGTTATTAATATTTTTAAGATAATGTAACAATAAGACGTAGAATAAAAATAACAAGGAAATACATTTGTAGAAGGAAATGCTTTAGCTGTGGACTGCTTTATGCATTGAAGTCATTGTGTATATATCAGGTAGGGACAGGTCCAGGTGTCAGTGCTGTCTCACTGATATCCAGATCTATTTGTGAAGAGTGTACAGCTAATTGAGGTATATAGCCGGGGTGGCTGTCAGCCTGACGAGATATTCCCTGGTAAGCAGCAAATACCTTCATGAAATTGCTGGTGAAAAAGGGAAGAGGAAATACTACATTGTAAAATAGAACATTCACCTGAATGCAGCTTGTGATATTGATTTGTGCAAATTGATTTATGTTCTCAATGAGAACTAGCTGCCTTTGTTGGAGGTTTCATGCACATCTTTTCATTCTGATTCATTAAAACATCTGTCTGTCTTTCTGGATAGGCGGAGAGACAAAGCACACCGAGAAATCAAGAACATCTTCTTTAAGGTAATCCAGAAACGGAGGGGTTCAAGTGAGAAGGAGAATGACATACTGCAGACTTTATTGGAGGCTACCTACAAGTAAGTGGTATGGCCAAGTGTGGAGGGATGAATAAATTCTTCTCTTTCCATTCTTGTAGTTGGAATAACAAAGTTTGAATGTTTATAAAGGTAGTGCTTTTCAATTCAGTATGTGCTATGTTTATCAATTACTTTGTTGGCTCTCCTCAGTTTAAGATAGTGCATCTGTTTTTATGCTATTCGTACAGTAGTCTGTTAGGATAATAATCTTTCAACAGATAATTGGATTTTTGAGAAGGAAGAATTTGCATTGGTCTAGGGAAGCAGTTGATATTAGAAGTTTTTATAAAACAAAGACTTGCAAATGCTGGAGATCTGAGTCAAAAATAGAAATTGCTGGAGAAACTCAGCAGGTCTGACCGCATCTGTAGGGAGAAAGCATAGGTAAGTCTTGAGTCTGGTCACTCTTCATCAGAACTGTTCTGATTTATTAATTAACTCTTATAAAGAATAGGCATGGTGGGGTGAATAGACTCTTGCTGCTATTTGTAACTATGTGGAAAGCAGCAACATTGCACCCACTGTAACCTTTTACTGAGTTCCTGAACTCAATTATATTGAGTACTATCTGATTGATTTTTCACCAAGGTCTAAGGCAAAGCTTTTCATATAGCTCCTAGTCTGCTCCTTCTAGTTAAGGAAATGATTTTGTATCTTTTATTTGTTTCCTGCTGGCTTACTTCATTGTATTTTTTCCAGGGATGGTACTCCTCTAACTGATGATGAAATTGCAGGCTTGCTTATTGGTCTACTGTTGGCAGGGCAACATACTTCCTCCACCACTAGTGCCTGGATGGGATTTTTCTTGGCTAAAGACAAAGAGCTTCAGGAACGTTGTTATGCAGAGCAGAAAGCAGTATGTGGAGAGGATTTGCCACCGCTACAGTATGATCAGGTACATGCCTGATCTAAACTGTGAAATGCAGAAAGATTTGTAAGCTATGAGTGTTTAGCAGATAACAGGTTAAGTACAAATTGTACAAAAGGCTCTATGCACTAGTGCTTGCATTTTAACACAACAGATCTCTCTTGGATTGTGGTAGTATTCATGCAGGGGGTCTGGGGGAAATGAACATCATACATAGGTGGATCCACATCTTCTGATTTTCTACCCGTTTTTAAAATGAAATAAGTGCTCATATTACTTGAGAGTCCCTAAAAACCTGCCCTTCATTTCTTTTAAATTTAATTAATTTGTTTTCCTGCTTAATATAATTTTGTGTTCTCAAAGTGAAGAATGGAACATAGAAACACAGAATATAGAAAATAGGAGCTGGGGAAGGTCCTTTGAATCTGTTTCACCATTCAATATGTTCATAACTGAGAATCTAACTCAGTACCTTGTTCCTGCTTCCTGCCCATATCCTTTGGACAATTTAAAATTTTTCCATAATCACTTATAGGTTTTTACTGTACTAAACATAGCCACATTCCTTTTAGTAACCTGTCCCTAATTAAACCAGCAAATCTCTTTAACCTTGGAGCATTACTGTGAATATTTCTATTTCCACTTTAATACTCGTATAACTACTGAATTCTGAAAATATTTCTATTCAACCTGTTCAGAGATGTTCTTACACACCTCTGGAGCAGGTGGGACTTGAACCCAGGATTCTTGGTCCAGAGATAGGGACACTATTGTCATTAGAATCCCTTCCTTCCGAGTCATTTTAGATTTGTGGACTTGATTGGAGAAATTCAATACAGAACTCAGTGAATTTTCTTTTTTTGAATTGTCCTTTAAATTATTTAATTGAATCAGTGCCTTGACTAGATTGTAATTATTGTAGCAGGAACCTGAGCAAGCATTTGCAACTTGGGAGTGACCTATTAGTGCTCTGTAAAAGTTTTGTGAACTGCAGTCTTTCCTGGGCTGAACCGAATCTCTTATAAGGAAAGATTAATTAAGTTGAACCTGTACCCATTAGAGTTTGGAAGACTGAGAAGCGATCTCATTGAAACTTGTTAAGACCTTGGGGCACTTGGCAGTTTGGATGCTGAGAGAATGGTTCCCCTTGTGGCAGAGTTTAGGAGATAGTTTAAAAATATAGACAATTTTTTTACAATTGTCAGTCTATGGAATTCTCTTCCCCAGAGAAAACCGGAAGCCTTGAATATATTTCAGGCAGGCTTTGTAAGATAGGTCCTTGATTAACAAAGGGTCTAGGATTACTTGGGACAGGTAGGAATGTGGAATTGAGGCTAGACAAATTAGCCATGATCTCATCAAGTGATGGAGCAGGCATAAAGAGCCAAATTAGCTTCTGCTACTTTTAATTTTATGTTCTTTTATTTGCTAGTAAAAGAAACTGGGTTAAAAAAAGTAATGGTCTAGGTCTGGCCTGGGTTAGATTTATTGCCACACAGTCAACATTGTACTTTTTGTTTTATTTGTAGCTGAAGGACATGAATTTGTTGGATCGCTGTTTAAAAGAAACACTGAGGCTCCGTCCTCCAATAATGACGATGATGAGAATGGCAAGAACACCACAGGTGTGTAAAGAGCCTGAAGGAGCAGTTAGTTTTTGGTATTGATTTTGGTTTTAGAAATGTCATTGTGGATTCTGTTTAGCTGAGAACTAGTGTACTTCTGATTGTGTTGTTCAACTTGTGACTTTGTTCAGAAAAAATAGTTAAATATCTGCTAACAACCACAAAGCTTTTCAGTAGATTTACTGACAGTTGATTGTTTGCATCAATAAACAATTTAGATACATACTGTCAAGTGATATCCTGTGAAAAGGTGTAGCCAACAATTATTCTCACCATTGCTCCCTTTGGGTTAATCAGGATTGAATAATTAGAGTATTTCCTGTCAATGCTCTTGGAAAGTTTAGTGTGTAATTCATTGTTCTGTTAGTGACTAAAATGGATCGAGGTTCTCTACTGAGTCAGTAGGGTGGCAATGACATTTTGCAATTGGCTTCAGTGTTGCAAGGGTGGGAAAGATCAACAATAAATATATCATTCGATGTTTGTTTGGACAGTATTAGACGCTGCTTCGCAGTAAAGCCTATCCTAAATTACCACTATATCCTTCAATGACACTTTCAATTTGCAAGCAAATGATATTAAATATCTTTTGCCTTTATTTGATCCAAATCTATTTACAGTTCTCCTGTTGATTGTAATTCTTGCAGTCCTTCTCCTTACTAATTCTGAGTTTAATTTGGGGTAGACAATTTTTTGAGCTGCTTACACCGTTAGTCAATTAAAGATTAACAAGGCCTTAAGTTGTTATTTGTGCAATTGAAATACTTAGAGCAAGATTGTTAATTAATTACTGGCATTTTCATTCAATATTCTACCACTCTTTACTTCTAATTAGTAATTATATCAGTGAGCTGAGAAATATTTGTATTCCTGAGCTTTAATTCCTTCACAGGCTGTAGCTGGTTACACCATTCCTCCTGGTCACCAAGTGTGTGTGTCTCCTACTGTCAACCATAGACTTCGGGATACCTGGACTGAGAGGCTTCATTTCAACCCAGATCGCTTTCTCCAAGATAACCCAGCAGCCCTGCAAAAGTTTGCATATGTACCTTTTGGTGCAGGTAGGCCTTATTAGTCTCGAGTCTTTTCTAAAACTTGACAGGAAAACAAAAACAATGGTTATCATATAGACATTTAAATCTCTGGGCAGAATAACTGGAGTAGATAGCTAGTGAACTAATGTACTGCAACGTTTTGGGTTGATGGTGGCTCAACGTATTGATTTATTCCATACAGGAGACTCTTAATCCTAGAATGAACGTTTCAAAGAACAAAGAAAATTACAGCACAGGAACAGGCCCTTCGGCCCTCCAAGCCTGTGCCGATCCAGATCCTCTATCTAAACCTGTCGCCTATTTTCCAAGGATCTGTATCCCTCTGCTCTCTGCCCATTCATGTATCTGTCTAGATACATCTTAAATGACCTATTGTGCCCGCCTCTACCACCTCTGCTGGCAACGCGTTCCAGGCATCCACCACTCTCTGCGTAAAGAACTTTCCATGCATACCTCCCTTAAATTTTTCCCCTCTCACCTTGAAATCGTGACCCAGATGATAATTCAGATGATAATTACACAGCAGTCATAGAATCCCTAGTGTGGAAAGAGGCCCATTAAGTTTGCACTGACCCTCCAAAAAGCATCCCACCCACGCCCTGACCTCAGCCTTTCCCTGTAACCCACATTTACCATGGCTAATCCAACTGACCTGCACATCTTTGGACTGTGGGAGGAAACCAGAGCACCCAGTGGAAAACTACATGCAGAACATGTAAAGTCCACACAGACAGTCACCTAAGGCTAGGATCAAACCCAAGTCCCTGGCACTGCAAGGCAACATCGCTAACCACTAAGCCACTGTGCCACTCCTGATTTTGATCCAATACTGGATCAAAATCAACAAATGAACATAAAAATATTTATTAAACACAGTCCTTTTTATAGGTCAACTTCCCTGCTACCTGACTTATCAGATTCTTTCCCTTTACGAAAATGCATTGTCCACTTTAGTAGCCTGTCTGACTTTTCCCTCTTATTGTTTAGGCACTAATTTTTAATGAACAATCTTGAATGAACCTTGAATGAACAATCTGCTTTTTAAAATAAATTCCCTTTACTACTTTGCAAAATATATCATTGTTCAAAAGTAAAATCAAGCCCATAATTGATTTTTGTGAAATAATGTCAGTTACTGACTCCTTTCCTTAGTTGCTGCAGTAGAAGCAAGTATGAGGAGTAACATAAATAGGCAGAAAGAATAAGGCTGGATCCTGGAGGTAATATTAGAGGCACAGTTCAAGAATGAGGGAGAATGGGGAAAGAAATGACTGCACCTTGGCATGCCACTTGGTTAATGTAATGTCATACCCAGACCAAGTGAATTAGTACTGTTTACTATATTTTTAATATAAGATGCTAATCACCTAACCCATATACCTTAAATCTGCAGTTAAGGCATGTTAATAATGATTTAATAGGGTAACCCTAGATCTTATACCTTTTGGTTTGTTTTTAAATTCATGAGTAATCCAAAGATGCATCATTAAATCATTAATGACTAAGGAAGTTCAGCTACTGCCTTAACAGTTTTATTTATCAGACTTATAACTTTCTTTCTTTTCCTCTGTCTAGGTCGCCATCGTTGTATTGGGGAAAATTTTGCATTTGTACAGATCAAGACTATCTGGTCCACTTTAATTCGGTTGTACGAATTTGATCTTGTTGATGGATACTTTCCAACAGTAAATTACACAACTATGATACATACCCCTAATAATCCAGTAATCAACTACAAGAGGCGAATACAATGAAAACTGGACTAATAAAAGTAATTTTTGTTGTATTCAGTCACTCATTTAGGTTTTGGCCCTAAAATTTATTTCATTGATCTATTATAGATACACCACTAAAATTTAAATGAGATCATTTAGTACTGACTATTTATTACATGTAAGATGGTACAATAAGCCCATTAATTTCATTTTTAGAATTTAAATCCCAACTGGTGAGAGGCTTTTCCAGCTTGCTTCTTGAAGGGTAACATCCCTTATGCTGGGATTCTGAATCCTTTTTTCATTAAACAAAATCAAATCTAATTAGACTTCAAAACAACACATCAGGTCTTTTAGTAAATTACATGCTTTATTGATTCATTAATAAATTGAAAAAATGAATCTGGGTCCTGTTTCTTTTGGCAGTACAGAATCATCAGAAATTAAGCAGCTTATTAGGTCACTTGTATTTTTGATTCCATGCAGTACAATTATGCCCCATCTTCAAATATGAAATTTTGTAATATCATTTGACAATTTACACTAATTTCCCTTGTGACAATTATTTTAAAATAAGTACATTGAGGAAATGTAATAATTTCTTTTTTTTGTGGTTTTCTTACATTGAAAGTGTGGAAACGGGGTTCTAACATGAATATTAGAATGGGTAAATTGATATTCATTTAATTACAATTATTGAAATGATGATCAAATTTGGGCAAATTTAGGTACCTCTGTTGAGAGGCTACATACTGTGTTGAAAGTTTGAACCATTTTTTCCCAACCTCAAGTTGGGGTTCACAGTTTATTGCTTCAGCTATCTCGTTTGCTTGTAATGTTGGATAAAATGAACAATTGTCTAATGTGACCAGATATTTTGTGATTAATGAAAATTGTTTCAGTGTGACTATCTTACTGTTTTAAGAATGTGCCATTGAAGTAAAGTCCACTACTTAAATATTGAAAGTTAAAGTAGAAACTAGTGAAATTGTTCCTTGCAGTAAATTCAGTGAATCTACTGATAGCTTGTTTAGTGTTGGTATTTTTTAACGATAGATTAAATGATAGGTAGCACTTCTTTAGCTGGAGAAAGAAACTTTACATGGCTGAGGATTCAGCCAGATAAGAACAGACTCTGGATTTACAAAGATTAGAGTAAATTTGTGCTTCTAGAATGAAACAATGGTGTTCTAAGCAAAGGAAAATTCTTTAATTCACCTCACTTTCCATTGCTAAACACTGGCTCTGATGCTCCCTATGATTTAACATGAAATGGCTCTACACACTGTAGTTAGGTGCGTAGGTTGTATAGGTGCTTTGTATCCAAGTCCAGGTTGGGAATTCCTTAGTCAAAAGATCCAAACAATACAATTACTTTCTGTGATGTGTAATACTGTTTGTGCTGGAGGTAGAGTTTGCAGTTTTAAAATAAGTATTCAAGGGGTGAGTATTTCATTGGCTGAGCCAGCATTTTTGCCCATCTAGTTGCCCTTAAGATGGTGATGGTTAGCTGCCTTCTTGGACCACTGCAATTATTTTGGTGTAGATAAACGCACCCACAGTGCCATTAGATCAAGATAAGACTGGTAAATGCTTTCTTTCAAGCTAAGTGTAGTCAGACACATTTATCACTGTGGATATGGTGAGACTAGCTGAATTGCTCGTGCAGAGAACCAACTCAGACAAGATGGGCCAAGTGGCCTGTTTGTGTGCTGTAACTATTTCATGACTGCATTTAATATACTACTCTATTCACAACCACCACCATCTAGAAAGGGCAGTAGATACCCAGAAACACTGTGACGTACAATTTCCATCAACCTGCTCAATATTCTGTCAGTGTCACTAGATCAAAATCTAGAATGTCTTCCCTAATGGCGTTGTGGGTCAGCTACACCATTGGGACTGCAGTGATTCAAAAAAAGCAGCTTATCACCATCTTTTCATTAGCAATTAGGAACAGATAAAAAATCTTATCCTAGCCAGTGATGCCTGCGTCCAATGAATGAATTACTAAAACTGCATTAATACACAGTTACTCTTTGCCTAAATTTCATTGTCATGGTTTTACTGAGTGTGGTGATTATTAGGGGAGGCAATGGCATTGCCACTGAACTAATAAACACGAGACCAAGGCTGATGCTCTGGGAACATGATTTTGAATCCTATGGGTGAAAGTTAAATCAATGAAAGTCTAGATTTAAAAAAAAACAGCCTAATGGCAAATATATAGCCGTGAAGTTATTAAAACCTGATCTGGTTCATTAATGTCCTTAAAAGCAAGGAAATCTGTCATCATTACTTGGTTGAACCTACATGTGACTTCAAACCAAAGTAGTTACTTCAAGTCGCAGCTAGGAATGGGCAGTAAATACTGGGCAATCAGCAATACCGATACCCCATGAAATTAAAAAAATGGCATTAAATGACTTATAATGTGATACTGAAATTGCTAACTTCAGCCTCATTATTTTATTCAAATTTATCACCACTCTTGAACTCTCCTCTATTTATACAAAAAAAATGGTTGGATTGTTACATGCATTTTCATGGAATTCGATAGCCTAAGTTTCTTTGTTCATCCATCCTTTGAGCATTCTCATTCCTACGTCGCCTCAGTGCTATTGATTGCAACAATCCATTGCCAGCTTACTTTTTACAATAGTGAAGGGACAGTGTGCAGCAGGGTAAGTTTTGCAATTACTTACACCAGGTTATACAATTGTACAGATACATTTGTAAGAATATTAACTTAGCCAGAAATGCAAAACAACATTTTCTGTTTGCCATTTCAAGAGCTTAGCTGAACACATCTAGGGGCCTGTTCTGTGTTCTATGCTTTTTATATCACTACAATATAGAGGAAATGGATCCAATATTAGAAATAAAAATAAAGTGCTGTAGATACTCAACAAGTCAGGCAGCCTGTTACAGAGAGTAACATCTCAGATGTTGCCAAATCTGATTGTTACCTGTATTTTCAGTTTTTATTTCATATTTACAGCATCTGTAGTATTTTGCTTTTGTTCCAATAAAAACATTTTTACAAATGCCAAGCCATTTGGCCAAACGCTGCAGCAGAGAGTAATGGCATTCAAAGTTAGTTGCACAAATTAAATAGATAAGTTAAGGAATAACAAAGTTTAATGTAGATAAATGTAAAGCAACATGCATTGTTACAGGAAACATGAAACTGGTATATAATATTTTGAAACATTACTTTTGTAGTTCAGCAACTTAACAGGCAAACAACAATGAGATGAATAATCATGTGTTCTGGTGGCATTTATGAACAGACATTGGCCAGGGTAACAGGAAACATTATTCTTCTTTTTGGGCCACTTGACCATCTAAATAAGCAGATGATATCTTGGTTTAAATTCACAGCCACAGGTTGCTGCTCATTTCAGTAGGATTCTTTAACATTCACTGAAACAAGCCAGTTAACCCAGCTTCAGATAACTAATCATCAATAAGACTAACGAAGTAGTGGAAAATACTGGCAATGTTTGACCATGCTCATTTAAATCTAATTGCAAAAATGGGCACATATAATTTCAGTTGCTCCAACTTTAGAAACCCAGTTTGATGCATTTGACAGAGTTCAGCAAAGACCGAAAAGTTATGAGGATATATTTAAAGAATTTAATGGACTAAAATCCTCCCTTAGTCAAGGTCCCAGTGGCTGCCCAGAAAGTAGGAAAAACTAGGACTTATTCATCTGCATTACTCAGCTTTAAACCACCAGGAAAGTTGATTTGATATTTGAAATGCTGAAAACCCCAAGTAATTTGAATGGTGGTAGGTTACTTGTGACTTCCAGTACTACAGGATATTTGTATAAACCTGGCAAACCTCAGTACAGCTAATTCATATTAGAAGAAAATTTTAACACTTCTTTTCCTGAGTAGATCTTTTAGTGCAATGAAGGTTTTTAGAAAAGAGCAAGAATATAAGATTTGAAAGTGTTTGATGAATTCACTCCTTCCAATAGGTTGGACAAATGTAGTTAAAGGCAGCATTAACTGTTTTAAGGCTACATATAGAAATTGTTTAATAAATATGCTGGAACTTCGACTTCAGTTCTGAAATGATGATATAGTTTATGAAATTCTATTTGTGTTTGATAAGGCAGAATGCGATGTTAAGACTATTTTCCTGGAGTTTTCCTTAAATTAATCCGAGTCAAGAGAAATTTCAGATAACTGTTTGAAATCTTATCAGCTGTTATCTACGTCCCTCAAGAATTAAATTATTTGGATTACATTCACAAAGGTACAAGCTAGACATGGTTATTTGTGGAAAGGAGTGACCTGAACAAGAATGGACCACATTTTTACATTTCATATTGAAAGAGAAGAAAATTCAATTTAGACACAACCTCAGAAACATGGAAGGGACAATGGCCCTAAGATTACATCTATTTGTTGCCCACATTACAAGTAAAAGATCTTATTAAAAGAATGGGAAAACATAAATGCAGATAGCCACTGAAATTTGCCACCATTACAACAGGTTAGATTATTGGAACATTTTGAATCCAATTTCAGGGTCTAATGTATCAAATTCCAGTTTGCAAGAGGCAGAGTATACTACTACAAAGAGTCTTTTTTTTAAACTTGTTGAAAGAGCAAATCTTAAGGAATTAGCCCACCTAGAGAGTTTTAATTTTATCTTCATACATGTACTTCACAGAGAAAATGGCAAGTTTCAAAAATTTTAATTTTTAATTCATATTTATTGTAGTACTTTGACAAAATGCCCATATAATTCAAAACTTCTACCATTACAAAAATAATTCCTCTACAAACTGTGTACTGTCCACAATGCCATAGTTATTTATGGATCATGTAGTGTAAGCTCAGCAGTCATTACAGGGACTGCAGTGCACTTGAAACCATTTAATAAACATTTTTCCTTTCACCCTTTAAATAAACAGTATTAAATTATAATCATTTTTAAATTAGCATTCCACAAATATACACAAATTGTTTAGACAGATTGTATTGTGCACACTGGAAGCTTAAACTTATATAAAGGATAAAACTCATTTAAATTATTTTGTTTGGACTTGCAGGCAAGACACATTTTCATTATTAAATCCATGATGGTCCCACAATTTACATAAAATAGAAAAACAAAGCCCAGCTTCAAGAGCAATTCAGTTTCAAGTCAAAATCTACTTCCAAGACTCTATCTTCTGGTTCCACAGTACATTTGAGCATAAGTTGTTGAACCTATGTAAGCAGAGAACACAGACCAGTTAACAGGTATACACAGCACTTTAACAACATTAGTCATTCCATGTTACAAAATGTACAAAAGATAACAGTTGCATAAATTCAAACACTTAAAAAGATCTGTGAGGATAAAATCCTCAGCTTATTGAATTATCAAGGCTTTCACTAGGTTGGAATAAATTCAGAAATTTTTTTAAACTAACATCTTTCTTATCATTGGCTATACACACCAATAACTATTGCTGCTTTCATCATCTTAAAGGGTTTCCACAACTGTCCTAAACATTTGGACTGAACATTGACATAAATCACCTGAAAATAAGCAAACTATTGTGCTGGGAGAAGTTCTTACATTCAATGGACCTGACAAATCTCTAGCAATAAAGGTGGCTCGCAGTGCCAGGGACCTAGGTTTGATTCCACCCTTGGATGACTGTCTGTGTGGAGTTTGCACATTCTCCCCGTGTCTGCATGGGCTTCGTCCGGGTGCTCTGGTTTCCTCCCACAGTCCAAAGATGTGCAGGTTAAGTGGATTGGCCAGAGGAAATGCAGGGTTACAGGGATGGGTCCAGGCGGGATGCTCTTTGGAGGTTCGGTATTAAATCAAGGGGCCAAATGGCCTGTTTCCACACTGTCGGGATTCTATGATTTAACAACGGCTATAACTAAAACAGAGCAGTTTTCCTCAAACAATTATATTTACATTCTAGACTGATGAAGTGTTGAGTAACAGCTGCCTGTGTATCTTCTGCATTTTCATATAATTCATTTTACTATTTTCAGCAAATCCATACATTCCATAGATTGATGTAATCTTATGGACAGAGATAATTACTTGTACAACTGGGGAATGTCCATCAACATGTCTTGATATGACTTTCACAAAAATGCCACACAACGGGCTCATGGAAGTGGTCAGAAACAAAACCCAATAAAGCCTAAATGTTTCTTCTCCTGCTATATAGTCATAGTTAAAAGTACAGTATGGGATGAATTGGAAACCATTATAGTTTTGATTATCATCTTTCAATAACTAGTTTTTCCTCAAATGTGCTGATAGCTGGAAAGGCTATTATTTCACTCCAGTAAATGAGCAAGACGTTGTTTAAATTCACTCACTGGTTATTAAAATCCAGGTCTGCCACACATAAAACACATTCCTTCTTTTCAGCATTCAATTTTCTTTCCCTTCCTTGTCTTAAGAAATCTAACAGTTGCCCAAAGCAGTGGGACTGTTAAAGGTTTTACTCAAAATTTATAAATAACATACAATTTAAATCATTTTATTAGTCACACAAATAATGGACTGATTCTCAATGGATGTTTTATGCACTGTGTTTGGACATGATGCCCATTACTTCTGTGCAAGAAGTTGAAAATATTGCATTATGTGTGCTTGACCAAATGGCAGCATAGGCGAATCATTTATATCAGTTTTGAAAACATTTAAGCATCTACCTCACCACATCCTGTAACGTGTTTTATTGACTTTAAATGTTCTGTACAAATGACAGTTCTCAGGCATGGACGTACCAACCATTGGGCCTGTCTGTCGGAACAGAGCATATCTTGAAGAAGCAGAATCCATAGACAGCTTTTAGATGCAGCAGGCGGATGAAAGGGAGAAGATTTCTTAAAGGTTCATATGTGCCAAGGATCTTGAGGAAGCAATTTTCCTTACTGAACCTTAGCAAGAAAGTTTGCAAGAGTCTGCACTTCACTGAGGTGTTGGTCACTGAAATATGCAAATTGTTTCAATTCAATTGTAGTTTCAATGTAGGGTTAGGTTGACAATGCCAATGGTTATGAAGTTGATTATGACAAACTTTTCAGTTTTATTACTTTCAGGTTAGGAGCAATTATCAGCAACATCTCACAGCTTGACATCCTCTGTTACATAAGTGAGGTCAATGACCCTCTAAATGACGTAAAGTCATTTTGCACTCTTGCCAAAGACAAGCAGACAGAGCACACCAGAATTTGTTCAAATTGTAGACTTTACCATGGTACACAACGCCATCGGACGTGGAGCGAGTTCCGGGCCCCAGCCGTGGAAGTGAGTTAGCAATGACTCATGGCTTCAGGGATGGAGGTCTACTTACCTTATGGAGATAAGGCTTTAAGATATGGACATTTCCCTTTCTTATTGGCTCTGTTTCTGTATTTCTGCTTTTGTTCTTTTTTTAAATGGTCGTTTTGATTTTGTATCTAAGGTGGTTGCTTCTGTTAAGTCTGGTTTTTTTGTACCTAAGATGGTGCTGGAGAATGATGATTGTGTACACTTTTTCAATGTTCTCCTGTATCTCTGTACTTGAGTACACGTGACAATAAAACTTAATTCTAATTGTAATTCTAAAATTCATTACCTTTGTGCAATCCTATAGTCCTCCATGCATATTTGCCTATGTGACTGTTCCTACATAGCGCTAATCCAGACTGCTGACTTTCAGTGGAGGGGGACTACAGATGGAGAATGACTGTGTATCTTCTCAACATGAGTGGCAGCACTCTGAGCTGGCTGGTTGACTGATAGCAAAGACAGTTGCACACAGAAATCACAGGCACATGTTAATCAAGTATTACAATGCCTGCACATATCTGACACTTAATCCAATTTAACCCCCAGAAGTTCACGACAAAATTAAGATTCGATAGTCCTATAAAGCTCACTCAAAAAACACAATTTGCATGGATGAAAGTAGTTGTCAAAATGCTGTACCATTAAGTGCACAATCATCCTAGCTCGGGTTGATCATAGTCAGAAATAATCCAATGAGCAATATTGAAGATGATCTGAAAGCAGGTTACTGGCGTGTCCTCTCAGCCTTGAAGCAAGCTAGATTACTCATAACACCCATCCTCAGGAGAGATTAAAATCTATTTATCTGTACTGAAAAATACATTACCTGATTGCACACTCCCCAGTCGTCTCTGCAATGCTTCTAATCTATTAATATAATCAGTCAAAGCTCTGTCAGGGTCATAATTTTGCAGGTGTGAAGATGCCAAAGAACTTGGATTAGAATCAAGTAGGCTCGATTGATACCTAGGACAGAGAGGGGAAGAAAAATTTGGATACCTAGATCCACAGTTCCAATGAACATTTACTCAAACTGACACAGTAATCATCTGCTAATGATCTAATGGCACAGCAGTTCCTTAAACCAGTGGAAGATGACTGCAGTTGTGTGTAAGAGTTACAAGTGCCTTCACAAACATTTTTGTTCATTTACTTATTTATAATGACATGTAATGAGAACAGGATAGTAAAAAATATTGTAAAACTTTACAGTACAACAGTCACTGCATTTTCAAATTGGTGTTTGACAGAGGCACAAATGAGGTGCTTTGATATAGTTGTCATGATGTGGAGGTGCTGGTGTTGGACTGGGGTAGACAAAGTCAGAAGTAACAGGACACCAGGTTATAGTCCAACAGGTATATTTGAAAACACAAGCTTTCCGAGTCTTATTCCTTCTTCAGGTGTTAGTGAGAGAGGTAGTATCAGACCGAGAACTTATATGTAAAAGATATAAGAGTCACACCACTGATGAGGATGTACTAAACAAACCTCAGATGCTGTTAAATCTTTAATCAGTTAGAAGGTTTTAATTAATTAACATGTATATGTAAATCCCCAAATTCCTTTCACCTCTTTACGCTGATAAAACCTTTTGTTCTCTCAGGATAGTGACTTCAAAGGAATTAGGGGATTTATATTTACATATTAATCAATTAAAACCTTCTAACTGATTAAAGATTTAACAGCATCTTAGGTTTGTTTAGTACATCCTCACCATCCCCTAATTCCTTTGAAGTCACTATCCTGAGAGAACGAAAGGTTTTATCAGCATAAAGAGGTGAAAGGAATTTGGGGATTTACATATACATATTAATCAGTTAAAACCTTCTAACTGATTAAAGATTTAACAGCATCTTAGGTTTGTTTAGTACATCCTCATCAGTGGTGTGACCCTTTGATCTTTTACTTATAAATTCTGTGTCTGATACTACTTCTGTCACTAACACCCAAAGGAGGAGCAAGACTTCGAAAGCTTGGGTTTTCAAATAAACCTGTTGGACTATAACCTCGTGTCATGTGATTTCTGACCTTGATACAGTTGTGACACAATGAAACTTAAATGTAACTTATTTTTCTCCTTACATGTACAGATTTTATAAAGGATTCAAATCTTTTACAAACATCATTACTGAGGTTTCAATAAATTATGGTTATAACAGGTCTGATTGGTTGTACATTTCCACATTTTACATGATACAATAAATATGTATGATAAAATTACCTGGATTGAGAATTTGAGATTGATCTTGGAGATTCTTGACCAGACCTTTGCCTACTTGTGCTGTGTCTATGTTCTCCAAACAATTCCTTTGACAGGCTTGATTCCAAAGATATGCTCCCAGAATGGAGGAAAGGAGAATCTGCTCTTGGTTCATTAGCTAGATTTTACATAAAATTGATGGCATGAGTGGAAAATATTAGCCTATTTCATGGTACTTGATTCACAAATAAAGTTCGATATCTCTGAGGTCTTGTTTAAAGCATTGCAATCATTTTACTAATTCACAAGATGGTAGGCTTTGTTATTTTAGAAGAGAAAATATCACTCTACAGTTGTCTGATTAAAAACGAAGAATCACCAGCAATGACACAGTTATGACAAAGTCTCTAATGTGGACTGGCATAATCTACAAACTAAGCTGCATATTACTAACAGAAGAGTGTGACCTATTGATGGGAAAGCAGCGAGACAGAAATTATGGGACAAATATCCAAGTGATTTAAGACTCCCTTTCATTCCAATACGTATGTTTTTAAAATTAAACAAATATACCTGTTTAATGGTCTACTGTGTGCTCTAAAAACGTCTGTAACACTGTTGTTATTGCTGTGGAGTTTCCAACTCCAAGAGCAGAAAACCAAAGGTATTTGTTTAGTGATTGCTCTGTACAATTTCAAAATTGAATAAGTACACAATGTACTGAGAGATTATAGTACATTAAGACTGTTTCATTTTGCAGAAGGTTTTAACTTCAGCACTAATGCCATTTGTTCACTGATATTAGTGAGTTTACCTGACATCTGATCGTGACCATTCCGATTACCAGTCAAACTGCTTGATCCAGCAACTCGAAGCCATCTGCGGGCCAAGAATCGCAACCTGTGGAGAAGATAAAAAAAACGATGTCAAGAATTGAAATAAGATTTACCTAATCACAATGATGTGAAAATGTAACAATAACCAACTGGTTTTAAAATGGTCACTGTATTAAATTACACCTAAAATCCTAAGGATATGACCAGAAAAAATTAACTAAAATTCAAAGGTTAAATCTAATTATAAAATAAATACTTAAATGTGTGCGTGAATGAATGAAAAATGCCAGATATAGTCAGAAGTTTTGACAGCATCTGTGTAGAGCAAAACAGAATTAACAATTTGAATTTTCCCAGCTTCAAGATGTTAAGCTTGGAGGCAATGTAGCTGTAAAAACAAAAACGGCAGCCGCCATGTTGGGATGGCTCTATGATGCATTCCTGCTGCTGAGGAATTTTACAGGAAGGAGCTGGGAATTGGATTGGTTGTTTGCTGTACATATGTGGGTAGCTGTACTGGCAGACTGGCATGCAGAGACTGCCCATCTCAATAAATGCAGTCTGCCAGGCCAAAGACTGAAGCTCCAAGACTCAATGAAAGAACTCAGTCTTGGCCAAGCCCAACCTAGGGCAGATTTTATAAACTCTTTCGTGGATTTACCAGTCTAGATTTTGTTTATTTCTTCACTATTGCGTAATTCAGCGAGGGCACCTACTTGCTGAGGCAATGCCACATTTGCTACAACAGTGCCCATCTCTCAAGATGGGGCAATCAAGATTTCAGTGCTGAGAGCCCTCAGATTGAGCCTGTAAAACAGCTCATTAAAAGTGGGATCAGCCAATTAGCATTTTCTTCTTTACTGTGGATTTCTAGCAACTGCATTAGTTCACAGTATAGTTCAGAAAAGGTTCACTTGACTCATACCTGGGGTGGTAGGAGAGGGATTATCCAATGAGGAAAGGTTGGACAGGCTGGGCCTGTATCCAAAGAAAAGATAAGTGTTAACGTTTCAGGTCCAGTGACCCTTCCTCAGAAGTTCTGAGGAAGGGTCACCAGACCCAAAATGTTAACTGTGATTTTTACTTTCACAGATGCTGCCAGACCTGCTGAGCTTTTCCAGCAACTTCTGTTTTTGTTCCTGATTTACAGTATCCGCAGTTCTTTCAGGTTTTTATTGGGCCTGTATCCAACTGACTTTAGAATAATGAGAAGTGATCTTATGGAAATATATAAGATCTTGCAGGGACTAGACAGGGTAACTGTTGAAAGGTTGTCTCCCCTTGTAGGAGAGACTAGAAATGGTTTAAAAATCAACAGTCTTCCATACAAGACTGAAATTAGGAGGATGTTTTTCTCTCAGAATGTTGAGTGCCTTTGGAATCTTCTTCACCAGGCAGCAGTGGAAGTGCAGTCATTGAGTATTTTTAAGGTGGGGTAGATAAATTCCTGACTACCAAGGGTGTCAAAGGATATTGAGGGTATACAGGAATGTGGATTTGAAGCCACAAGCAGATCAGCCATGTTCTAATTAAACGGTGGAGCAGGCTAGAGGGGCGAAATGGCTTACTCCTGCTCCTAATTCATAAGCACATGCTCATATGCTTGTAACTTTTCTATATTGCTCATACAATTATCTCTGAATACATTTAATTGGAAAATCTGAATCTTATAACAGCTTTGAAACCAATTAGTAATTTGTTTTCTTTCCCATGCGGCAAAG